ATATATATATATATATATATATATATGAAGAGAGGGGGAGAGAAAGGAAACTGTTTGAAAATACAACCGTATACAGTGATAGAGATAGGGAGAGAAAAATGAAATAGATAAATGAATAAATACTAACAGAGAAATATTCACACTACATGAGTAGACATTGACATCCAGGAGGATGTCTATCCAGTTCATTCTGTAGTCGTCTATTCTCCGTTTCCATTTCTGCAATTTCCTTCTGCAATTGAACAATACTCTTTGTCATTTCCTCCTTATCGCGTGTTCCCTTCTCTGCGGCATACACTGTAGAGTATTCCTTTTCCATCGCCTGACAACGATGAGCGGCTTTATCTTTCATTTCTGTTATTTCTTTCATCTCTTTTTTCAATCTTTCATTATCTGCATCTGCGGCTTCTTTATTACGTTTTGCGGCAGCTTCGAGAACAAAACATCTTTGTTCCTCTGGTGTGGAGGAAATAAATTTATTCATTTCTTCCACTTTATCTCCCTTTTCTTTTATATCTTTCAGACGAGCTTCAAAGGAGGCATTCTTTTCACTTTGTTCTTTAATTTTCTGTTCCATCATCTTTACTTTTTCTCCTGCCTTTTCCAATACTTTCCCTTCTTCGGCCGCTACCTTTTCTGTTGCTTCCCTTTCCTTCATCATGGCTGCCATCATTTTCTTCTTATCATGTACGATTTTCTCATAATTCGCCTTATGCCATTTTGTGCGATATCGATTTAATGCACGGGCATGACGAGCAGCGGCGAGATCATATTCAGATTTATGTAATTTAACTCTACACGAATGATTCACAGCTTCTTGTTTCATTAACTCCACCTCACGGGCATTAATCTCTGTCTGAACAATTTGTGTAGATTCACTTTGACGAACCATCTCTGTTTTCAGATTCTTCACCTCATCTGAGAGATTACGTAATTCCACAAGTGCCTCATCTTGCATGAGTTTCGGTTTACACCGTAATTTCATAAACTTTGTAGCCAGTACGAGCGTTTGCATAGTTTCTCGTGTATGTTCATAAAAAGGACTGACACAGCAAAGGAATGAAAGATTATATCCTTGTTGAAATAACTCTGGATATAATTTTGTAAAAGCCGTTTCTCGTGTGGGAACCTTTGCCAGTGGATTTTCTCCACTATCATGTTCCACGGCCACATCCACACATCGTTGAAAGGCCGCTGGCATATTTCGTAAAAGAACAAACAACACATTTATACGTCTGGCTTTACTTACTGCCTGTCCTAATTGTTCAGGATCCTCAAACTCGTAGGTTTCCACAAATCGAAGATTAACGGTATGACAACCACTACGTTTAGGAACCACACGTGCCAATTGTCGAAGTACGGCATTTAATTCTGCTGGTTTATTTACAGGAACTCGAGTGGCACCTTGTAATTTCATTCCTTCTACAGCATCATTTACAAGTTTCATTTCTTCTGTGGTTCCACTCACAGGACTTTTACGTCGTTGAGAGAGTAAATCCACATAGGTTTCATTAGGGGCAATATCAATAGCCTCCACTTCACAGGAAAGTGTACTGTTCTCTCGTTTTTCTCGTTTAAAGGCGGTAAAAACATCATCTGCAAATCGTGGAAGAATACCACGATTAATTCCATCCACATCATCACCGTAAAGAGAATAAATACGACCACTTCCTGTAGCCCCAGTTACACAGAAAGCCGCACTGTAACCTTCCACCAATTGTGGAAAGATAGGTGTAACCATCTTATCATACACATCCTTCTGTGTGTGCACAACCCGCTGTGGTCGCTCCTCATCACGAAAAGACCACAAAACGTTATCAATTTCGAATTGACCATTTTTGCGAGGGACAAATCCATTGACCGCGTCCAATACCGTTAAGGTGTGGGTGCCATTCCATTCCAATACCTCACGGGGAACAGGACTGTCTTCTGGACAGACCGTCGCCTCCGCCTCTGTAAAGGGACGTACGCGCACAAATACATTCGCCTTTGTTGCTGACATTATTGGATATTTTTCAAACCGCAAAAATCACAATAAAGGGATAAGTTATTTTCCTTTTTTTTTTATTTTATTTTATTTTCTTTCTTT